CTGATTCCAAGCCTGCTTCTCCCAAACCAGTTCCCAGCTGTCATGTCTGTAATTACCAACCTTGCCAGGGGCATCCGACAAAGCACAGCAAAACCTCATTTCCAAAGGGCCCTACCATAGAGGGCCCTGCCTCCTGCTCTGTACCAAGCAAGGTAGAAGCAAGGAATGCAAAACTCCCCCTGGCCCACCGCAGTTTTATCCAGACCACGACAGAGAAGGTGAGAGAAAGGCGGCCCCAGCCACATCACCAAGAGACAAAATAAAGAAGGGGCGGGCCGCCGCAGGGTACAGCGCAGGACTTACTCCCAGGCCTTTCCTTCACCTCTGCTGCCAAAATCTCATCATGCACAGGGTTGCCCACCTGTGGAGGGTAAAAGGGGCAATTTCAGGTCAATTCAGAGAGAGGGGAAGCTGATGCCAGTGAACAGGGAGATGGCTTCCCCCAGGGATGAGAGTTGATGCATATAGGAGGGAGCTGCCCAGGAAAGAGCAAGTTTTAAAAGCCCTATCCCCAGCCCAGACCCTGAGAAGAGGCAGCAATACCCTAGCCTCTCCTCTCCCCTGATACCTCCAACCCTACCAACCCCATAGGAAAAGCAGGAAAGGGATGATAAGCTTTGTTTTATAGACAGAGAAACTAAGGCCGAATCCCCACTTCACACTTCAAGGTGCAGGAATACCAAACACCCTGTGTACCTTTTGCTCACGCTCAGCCTCCACCAGCAGTGCCCTCCTCAGACCCTCACTGCTGGCCTCGCTCACCTTTTAACCAGCTAAAGTCTCTCCACAGAGAGAAGAATACTCGGCTATAAAAGAGAATGAGGTACTAATACATGCTACATGCTACCAAGTGAATTAACCTGGAAAACGTTATGCTAAGGGAAGAAAGCCAGATTCAAAAGGTCACACCTTCTATGATTCCATTTGTATGAAATATCTAGAATAGGCACCTCCATGGAGACAGATGCAGCCTGGTGGTTGCCAGGGGCTGGGATTAGGGGAAATGGGGAGCAACTGGCTTCAGGCGTATGGGTTTTCTTTCGGGAAGGTGCAGACGTTTTGGGACTAGACAGAGGTGGTTGTTGCATAGCACTGTGAATGTACTAAATCCACTGTTCACTTTAAAATGGTTTATTTCCTATTATGTGAATTTCACCTTAATTTTTTTTTAATCCAGCTAAGGGGGCATCTCCTCCAGGAACCTTCCCTGGCACCTCAGGCCAGGGCCAAGCACCCTTCCTCTATGCTCCAGTGGTCTCCTGAACACACCTCCACACAGCACTCACTGGGCTGCAGTGAATCAACACGTTTTCACATGTCTCCCCTGGAAAAACGTCTTATTCCTCCCTCCATCCCCTGTGCTTCACACAGCGCCTGACAGACAGGAGAGAGTGCCTAATGTGGTCGGCCAGAGGAAGAACAGAACCAAAGCCTAGTTCTCCTGTCCCGACCCTGACCTCTCTCCCTTAACAATCATCATCCCTGGCCGGGCGCGGTGGCTCACTCCTGTAATCCTAACACTTTGGGAGGCAAAGGCAGGTGGATCACAAGGTCAGGAGTTTGAGACCAGCCTGGCCAATGTGGTGAAACCCCGTCTCTACTAAAAATACAAAAATTAACTGGGCATGGTGGCAGGCACCTGTAATCCCAGCTACTCGGGAAGCTGAGGCAGGATGATTGTTTGAACCCAGGAGGTGGAGGTTGCAGTGAGCCAAAATCATGCCACTGCACTCCAGCCTGGGTGACAAAGCGAGACTCCATCTCAAAACAAACAAACAAACAAACAATAATCATCCCTCAGAATCCGAACCCCCCAGCTAACATTTACTATGTGCCAGCCACTGTGCAACATGCTCTATTATTTCATTTAATCCGCATAAACTCAAGAGATAGGGCCTATTACTAATTCCATTTTACAGGTGAGGCTTCAAAAAGCTACCAGTTTTGTCTGATGTCACAGAATTAGAAAGTGGCAAAGCCAGAATTTAAAAGCAAACCAGGGAAGAAAGCTACTTGGGAGGGGGACCAGGGATTCCTTGTGGAAGGGTTCAGTCTGGGCTTGGAGGATGTGCCTGGTAAGAGGTGCCTAAGAGGCTAGGGAATGGGGCTTATTACTTGCCGAGATCACACCACTGTTAAGTACTAATTCCAACCAACTCTGACTCCTTTCTCTGGCCTCACAGTGTGAGGAACACTCGAGGGAAAAAGTAAGACTGGAGTCGCTAAAACTCGGAGGGAATCAGAAGATCTCTTCCTTTTCCCCACCAAAGCTTCTGTTAGCCAGGTTCCCTCCCTGCTAACCAGAAGGACCCAGAAACCAGAAGAGCAGAGAAGACTGTCCTGCTCTAGGCCCAGGGAAGGGGGATCAGACCTAAAAGGATCAGGGGAAGAGGCAAACATACCAGAGAGGCCTGCCCCAGAAGAACTAAAGGAAATAGAAGCCAAGAGCAAGACAATGGGTGAGGAGGGGCCAAGGTGGCCACTGACTCCCAATCCGGAAGTACTTTTAGAAATGGCATTTCCTATTATCTGACCGCAATTCCTCCTCTTTGGAAGACAGAACCCACCAGTACAATATATCATGCATGTGATGAGTGTATACAGAGCAAACAAGGTACCCCAGAGAGCCAGGGCACACCATCTTGGATGCAAGAGCCTTGCTAGCCCTGGGAGCCCAATCAGACAGGCGTTGGGTTTGGGGGAATGATCCATTAAAAAAAAGAAGGGTCTTTTCCTACTGTGCCCCATTCCTGGTCCCAACATTCTCTAACCTTGCGCTACTCCTATCTCCAGGCCTTAGGGAAGGTAGGGAGCCCTGGGGACTAAAGAGGAAACATTTCAACTGCACATGCCCATTAGAGACTCTAACATTCCAATTGCAATTGCCCAGGGACCCTAATGGGCATGTACAATCTCACCTCAGTTCTAAAAACTGGGTGCCTCAACCCAGCCACTGGCAGCAAAAAGACCACTGCAAGAGTGTGCAATGGGAGAAGGCTAGTATCCTAAAGAAGGAGGTGAGCAACCCCTTCCCTACACCCCAAAGAGAAAGGATGAGAGAAGACAGGGAAAGAAGGGAGTTGTGGCTTCTTGGTGGAGAGAGACATTCGCTTCCTGGATGGTCACTGACTTCCCACCACACTATAGTGATGATGAGCATAGCCTGAGACTAGGAGTACAGCCGGCGATGGGGACCTGCCTTTCTCCCCACACACAGACACTCAGCCCTGACGCCACACCCACAGCTCCATCTCAATCATGCTTCTCACCAGGGAAGAGGGAAACTGTGTAATAAACCACACAGCCTCACTTGCAGAAACTCCTGAAAAAACACCCTAGGCCACCTTCTAAACCCCATGGACAGGGAACCCAAGCTGTTCCCCACCAGGTCTCTCCCTTCCAGACATGCTTCCTCCTCTTGTTTCCATCCCACACCAAAATCCCAAGACTCCTCAGGAACTTTGGGATCTGGAGTCAGGGCAGAGTTAGAAGGCACTGAAGCACCAAACTCTGAGCCGGCTTTCCAAGAGAACTGTGGGCTGAGGCCTTTAACTAAGGCTGGGAATCCCTAGCCTCTCCAAGTGCTGGAACCCAGCCTATGATGATGGGGGAGGAAGTTCCTCTTATTCTTCTCCCCGACCCAGCCAATCTTCCAAATTCCTCTAGGACTACAAGCAGATCCCTTGTTCCCTATTCCCCATAACACACGCCCTCTTCCTGAAAACCCCATCCCCCAAAAACAGGCACTTCATAAGACAGCCCATTCCCTCCCACCCATAGGTCTGAGATATTTAAGGCACTATCCCTGAACCCAGGCCAGGCCATCCAAGAAGTCTCAAAATCCTGCACACAGCCTTCCTTTTGGGATTTTTGCCAGGAAAATCTGCCTGCAGAGACAAGAGGTGCCCCGACACACACTCAGAAACACACATATCAGCTAAGGCAGGCACACACACACTGATACCTACCCAACAACACAGGTTTACACACAAGAGAACACAGATTCACTCACACCCCTTCCCAGTACACAGGTGCACACACACCTATCCACATACACTCCATTCTGCTCTTACACACCCACCTTCCTCGGTACCTACACACCTCTTTCCCATAAACCCTTCTCCCAGTACACACACATATTAGAGCCTTCCCCTAAGTGTACATACAAATACATATCCAAACACACCGCAGATGTATGGCCAGCCGCTTCCCGGCTGCACACACACTCAACCACAGAAACACACCTACACATCTAAGCCAGGGGCCCACCTGCAGGAACCTGCAGCACGTCAAGGCGTGCATACACACCAAAACAAAGAATCATCCACACGGATCCTCCACCAACGCTTCAAAACTCACTAACGCAGAGCCCACAGTCCCCTAAATGGGTAAATACGAGCGGGGAGAGGGATGCCACCGCCTGTCGCCTCGACCCCTATACACAGTCTACCACAGCCAGCCCCATCCTCGAGCGGTACACACACCCTATCTACTCTGCGCAGCCCGCCCCCCTGACTCCACTCTACACCCTAAACTCATACCTGCCTCCGTCCCTCCCCACGGTCCTGAGGGGTGTATGCACCCCAAAACACCCTTGGCTTCCAATACCTCCAGACTCCGATCCTTCCACGCCTGTCCCCCCACCTCCAACACAAGCTCCCAGTCTCAGGCTTCAACCCGCTCCCCTGGGGATCATTAAGGCCCCCGCCCGGGCCCAGGAAAGTCCCCGGCTCTCCAGGCCTGGGCTCCGCCCCCTCTCCACGAGCCCCTTCCCCTCCCCAAAGTTGGGGGTACACTCCGCTGCGCCGTGGGGAAGCGGACCGGAAGGGGGTTGCCCGGAGCCCAGCCCCCCTCCCCCATAAGCCTCCCTGCTCGCTCTGGGGTCGGGCACCCCCTGGCCCTTTGCATGATTTTCCTCCTTTTCCGTTTCTTTTTTTCTCTCTCTTCCCTTTTTTTTTTTTTTTCAAACTTTGCCCGCGCCCCCGCGGCCCGGCACTCACCCGCCGCTGCGAACTGCCGGGTGGGCTCCGCGGGCGCCGCGCTCGGCCCGTCGCCTTTGTATCCGCAGCGCTCCGGGTCGCTCCGAACTCGGCGCTCCCGGACAGGCGGCGCGGGCGATGAGAGGTGTTGGGGGGGCTCTTGAGTCTGGTCACCCCCGGCTCCGTCCCAGACCGCTGCCTCTTCCCCCTCAAGGCCCCGGGGGCTGGGGGCCAGGGGGGAATAGGGGGCGCTCAGGCTCCCATGGCGGGACCCAGGACCAAGGAATCAGGGATCAGGAATCAGATCGGGAGCCGGCGGCGGAGGGGGGAGGGGGCGGAGGGGGAGGGGACGAGGGTGGGGGGTGCAGGGGGCGGGGGAGCGCGAGCTCCCGGGTGCCGCCTCCCGGCTGTTCCCGCAGCCGCCGCCCCTCCTACCGCCGCGTCCATTGTCTGCGGCCCCGCTCTTCCCCGAGTCGCCGCTCCCCCGGCCCTGCGCCTCCAGATGCCCGGCGGCCCTCCCCGGTCCTGGGAATCCGCGGCGGGGCTGCTACCCGGGTCCCGAACGGTGGACAGGGGAACGCCTCGATTCGTGGCCTTGGCCCAGCCTGCAGTCCCCCCTGAGGCTGTCTTTCGAACCCTCCTGTCGGAGACGAAGCCCCGCAGAGCCCCGGGGCTGGCCATATTCTCTTCTTTAGGGCCACAGACCCGGCTACACGAAATCCACAGGAATCTGGGACCTGGGAAGATTGATTTTTTTCCCCCTAGGGGTGCGAGAAGGGAGAGTCATTCCTGATTTTAATTAGTGGCGAGGGACGCACGCTTCTTCCCATGCATACGGGGATTTCCCTGACACCATCCCCACCATATCCCCTCCTTCCAAAAATAATTTAATTACTTGAAGTTCTAGCTGCGAGCAGCGACCGCCCCAGTCAGTCTGGGACGCTCCCTCATTAACACATTTTCCCTCCCCTCTGGTTTGAGTGTTGGGTTTAATTACAAAGGGAACCCTGCCCTGGGGGAGAAGGGGAGGAGGAGACGACGAGGGCGCCTGGGAGTTTGGATGGCGGAGGAGAGGGGGCCCTCTCCCAGGAAACCTTCAGGAGGAAAAATGCCTTGGCCGGTTGGATCCCCAACCCCAAGCAGGCAGGCTGTCCATCCCAGGAGTTTCAGATACTTTCGAGCTGAAGGTGCCACACAGAGATTGTAGGGTCTCACAAAATACCCGACAGGTTTGGGGCGTTTCTGCCTCCCAGTATGCCAAGAAACCAGTTAGAGTTGTTGTATATCTGACCCCACAAGAGTGACCTCCCACTGTAAAAGCCTGGGCTGTGGGAAGTCCATGTTCGCCCTGAAGTAAATGAAAGCAGCATTCAATTATCATTAGTGTTACTGCCGTGCAACCCTCCACTTAGAGTAGTATCACTTCAAAAGCATCTTCACATACCTCTTCCTAAGCAGGCCAAGGCCTTTTCAACATCTCAGCCTCCTCAGTTTCCAGTCCTGGCACCTGCTCTCACCCTGTGATTTAGGAATCCCAGAGAAGGAGACTCCCAGCCTCTGTTCCTCACTTGTTTGGGAATTTTTGCTCCTCCCTGATGAAAATTTTTTTCCTGAGACCTAATCTCACCCCTTTTGATGGTTCATTCCAAACTGTCCAAAGATGAGGACAGAGCCACCTTTGCTGCGTTGTTCAAAGACGAAGAACAGTAAAACACACTTTCTTTCTCCTCTGCCCAAACTCTGCCTTTCCTCATCCCCTCCTCCAGTAGTATAGGTAAGCAAGTGACTCAGCACCAAGACAACATGAAAAATGCAGAATCATCATTTCAGGTACCCAAGTCCCTGCATGCGTCCAGGCACTCATTCACCTTGTGCCTATCATGTGCAGGCACCGGGCTGCACTGGGACTCCTAGCAGTGATCACGGTCAGGTGTATGAGAAAGTGGCAGGAGAGCTGGGGAAAGGTTAAGCAGAGAGGACACGGGTGTCCCCAGCCCTGCCCTAAAGCACACCCTAGTGCTGGGCAGCTAGTGTGTAATTTGACACAGTGTCGGGGCTGCCATGGCACTGTCTGACTCCCAGGCAGATTTAGTGTGAGTTATGTTCACATGCTGCTAGCCTGTTTCACAGACCTCAAAGGGGTCCAAAGAACTGGAAAAATAGGGGCCAGTTTACGGATAGTTACATAAACTGGCCCCACTGAAAGCCAGATGCCAGAATTACAGGTAATTCCGTAAACTGGCCCCGCTGAAAGCTTGAAACCTAAGTCAAGATGTTAGCAGACGAGAATTCTGGATTAACAGGCATCAGGCATCAGGCTGGAATATGCTTGGTCCCTCCTTTCTCCTCTCTGAGGGTGAGGTTGTGGGCTGTCAGTTACATCTCTGCAATGAAAACACTGGATTACAGAGTTCAATAATAAATTTTTTTGGTGTGGTCTGTCCCATTCAGTAATTCTCTTTACTACCTTCTGCCTTCACCCCAGGATAGAATCTCATCTGGATTTCACATGTCAAGGCACTGAGTGAGGAAACAGAGACCCAACTACAAGGCTCACGTGCCCTACGGTCTAAGAGACCTAGCTTAATTCTTTGGAAGGAAGGAGAGCACTTGAAATGACATTCAACTGTGATTTTCCCAAAGGGGCCAACCTACAATAACAGAGGGAGCCAGGAGCCTGAGGGACAAAGAATGGAACAGATTGGACTTTGTACAGCTCCTGTCCTTGAGGACATAGTCGAGTTTCTTAATTTCTTCAAGCCTCAATTCCTGTTTATACAAAAAGTGTCTAATGAGGTAACAGAAGGAAAACCATCCACATACCCACAGTGCCACAGTCAATCCCCGGCCAAGCTTCCCCTCTCTGTTCTGTGCCTACGACACTTCTCATTCCTTCGGGACCCTTGATTGGGGAACGAGGTCTGTAGCTAAAAGCCAGAGCCCTCTGTTAAAGCCTTTCAACTCCTCACCAGCTCACTAGGTGGAGGTGGGGGTGGGAGGGTCAGATCCGAGTTTTCCCAGGAGCCCTGGGAGTTGGGCTCTCCTGGGGAAGATCCCAGGAGCTCAAGAAGTGACAGTAGACTCTCCCTGGGGGAAGGTCCAGGCTACAGAGAAGCACCTACGTACTTCCTGTGTGGATGAAGCTGTCCTGGGAGGTCAGGCCCAGACCACAGTAGCAAAAGTTAGGTTTTCTGCTCTGATGAAAAATAGGGCCTTTTCTTTTCTTTCTTTCTTTTTTCTTGAGGAGGAATTTCCCTCTTGTTGCCCAGGCTGGAGTGCAATGGTGTGAACTTGGCTCACTGCAACCTCTACCTCCGGGGTTCAAGTGATTCTCCTGCCTCAGCCTCCTGAGTAGCTGCGATTACAAGGCATGTGCCACCATGCCTGGCTACTTTTTGTATTTATACTAGAGACAGGATTTCCTAAGGTTGGTCAGGCTGGTCTCAAACTCCCCAACTCAGGTGATCCTCCCGCCTCAGCCTCCCAAAGTGCTGGGATTATAGGTGCGAGCCAATGTGCCTGGCCAAGTAGGGTCTTTTTATAACTCTGCTCAAAGAAGGAAATCCTTGGTACCTTACTCACAGAAGCTTAACACACTAGCAGGATGGCCGTCAAAGTGTTTCCAGGTGAACAGTTAGCAATTTCAGCCACCTCCCTCCCAGGTACAGGTGACTGCAGTAATGAACCCACATGCAGGGTCACAATCACCATCTTCTTCCAGCCCTGCTGATGAGCCTGGGGACAAGTTCGTCTCCCAGAATAGTTAGAGATCTTTCCCCAGCCCCCACCTTCCCAGAAAGGCTACTCTTGATGCTTACAAAAGGATTTCCAGACCCAGGCTATATTGTGAAATAGCTGGGTTTTGGGGGTGGAGGGTTACCCCCCTCACTTTTAGTAAAAAAATTAAAAATAAATAAATAATAAAAATAGCTCACACACACACTTTACTATGTCATAGGCTTGTGGTGAGGTGTCTCTCATGTAAGACCCTGATCTCTAAGAACAAGGACCATGCCTCATTCATTTCTATATCTCTGGTACATAAAATTCACTAAGTTAGCCTTAGCTGCCTTCCCTTCTAGGTTCCTCCTTTTTCTCCTTTCCTCATCTGTGAAACCTTGACCACTCCTTATTCATCCAACCTTTATTAAGTGTGAGTTTCCTCAAATCCAATCCCATTATCATGAATCTAAAATGTTACCTACAATTAAACCAGTGGTTGTGAACTTTGACTACAGATTTTAATCACCTGGGAAGCTTTGAAAACACATCAGTGCCCAGGACCATCCCAGACTAATTAATCCAGAAACATCTGAGGTGTGACCCAGCTATTGGCATTGTTTTTAAATTACCTCAGTGATTCTAATGTAGGAAGCACTAAATTAAACTCTTTCTGATTTCCTTTGTCCTTTTTGGAAGAGTAAATGCTCTCTACCTCCGTTGCCTAGGACTAGTCCCTGCCAATGTGCATTGTATCCTGTCCTTTCCCACCTCCATCCATCATTCCCAGTCTCTCCTGTAACTAACTTCGACCTCTTCACTGATCTTTGCCCAGCAGACATAATAAAATGAAAAATCTTCCTCCACTCAGCAGCCTTCTCTTGCTTTACCCTTCGCTTCTTTTTCTTTCTCATCCAACCTTCTTAAAAGAGTAGATTCTTCACCAGTATCTCTCTTCACTCCTTAGCTCCTTGCACCCCAGCCGTCCTTTCAATGTGTGTGGGTTTTTTTGTTTGTTTTGTTTTTGAGACGGAGTCTTGCTCTGTCGCTGATGCTAGAGAGTGCAATGGCGTGTTCTCGGCTCACTGCAACCTCCGCCGCCCAGGTTCAAGCGATTTTCCTGCCTCAGCCTCCCGTGTAGTTGGGATTACAGGTGCCCACCACCATGCCCAGCTAATTTTTTGTATTTTTTTTAGTAGAAATGGGGTTTCACCATGTTTGCCAGGCTAGTCTTGAACTCCTGACTTCAAGTGATCCGCCCGTCTCATCCTCCCAAAGTGTTGGGATTACAGGCATGAGCCACCGCACCCAGCTCCTCCAATGTGTTTCAAATACTGTTATTTCCCAGAATTCAGCCTTTGGCCCCCTTACTCCCCACCCCACATGCTTTTCTAAAGCAATGTCATTCACTCCTGTGGCTTCAGTCAGTGCTCACTTATGAATGCTGCTACATCCAGGTCTATCTTGTGAGCATCAGACCCAAATTTCTAACTTCCTATCATACATTTTAACTTGGATATTCCTTGGGTATCTTAAATGTAATAGGTTTAAAAGGAATAACATTATCTTCCTTCCACCGTTATCCCCGTGGCTTATTCAGACC